GAAAGGTGTGGGTCTGAGAATATTTTTAAAGATTTAAATCCAATTGAGGGCACATGAAAGTAGAGCTAGCTAAAGTGAATTAGTAGAGTGGATTAAATGATAGGTCACTCAAGATGCAGTGACCGACATTTAAGGGGATATTGCAGAATACAACACGTGAAGCGCATTCGTTATGTAGAGTAAGAATAATTCCAAGGGATGTACTCACCACCTTTGGTTAACTAGAAAGGTTCAAGGTAGTATCAAGTGTGTAGGATAAGTATAATGTGCAAAGATATGCTTCAAGTGAGAAGTTGAAAAGAATATAACTTGAAAAGAATATAAAAGAATGGTGACAAAAATTAATAAGGATGGAAAAATTGAGGAAGCTTTCTAGAAGTATGAAACTTGATAGGGTTTATATAAATATTTTTAGAATTTGTGACAGTTCTAAATATCTGGAGGATTAATAATTGAAAATGAGATGGTAGTTGAATTAACAGATGTTATGCATTATTCTTTATTATAGAGGATGCATGTAACATCCCAGAAGCAGCAATAAATTTGGAAATGGAAAGGAGAGAGTGACTCTGGTAAATCGCAATCACTAGAGAAGTAGTGCTGAGTAAATTTTGGAGTTACGGGCTGACAAATGTCTAGGTTACATTTGTATCTTAAGAAATGATTGGTGTTAATATATTGGCTTTAATTTTCCAAAACTCAATTGAGGAAGGTCTCATAAGATTGAAAGAGAGCAAGTGTAACTCCTTTTAAAAGAAAGTTATAGGCACCTAGACAAATTCAAGATAATCAGGCAGGGTCAACATGACTTCTTGAAACAGAACTCAAGTTTGACCAATCTTTTTGAAGTTGTTTAAGGTAGCAGCATGTGCTGTGTATGAAGGTATTGAACAGCCATGTTACAGGTTATTGCAAAAAGTAGGAGTTCATGATGTATGGGGTAGAAAATTGCTGCGTAACATGAAGCAGAATAAGCAAAACTGGGTGTTTTTCTGGTTGGCAGGATGTGACAAGTGACATGCATGGGGTCATTGCTGAGACTTGGATGAAGGGATGCAAAGTGTGATTGCCAAATTTGCTGATGAGACAAAGATGGGCAGGAGCATACGTTGTGAGGAGGCCCAAAAAGATGATAATAGATTCAGTGAGTGGCAAAGAACTGGCAAATGGAGTACAATGTAGGAAAATGTGAAATTGTTCACTTTGGTGGGAAGAATGCAGAATTCAATAATTAGGTCGAAACACAGAGCTTTGAATTGGAGAGGATCTGGGTGTGTTAATGCATGAATTACAAAAGTTACTATGCAGATACAGCCAATAATTAGAAAAGTTAGCAATGTTTTTATTTTGTAAGGGAATGAATGGAGTACAAAATTAGGGAGGTAATGCTTCTGTCTATACAGTACATTGGTGGGAATATGTCTCGCGTATCGTAAGCTGTATTGTTCATCTTACTTAAGGAAGGATATAAATGCATTGGTGACCAGACTAGTACTTGGAATGAGAGATAACAAGGTGTAGAGCTGGATGAACACAGCAGGCCAAGCAGCATCAGAGGAGCAGGAAGGCTGACATTTCGGGCCTAGACCCTTCTTCAGAAATGGGGGAGGGGAAGGGGGTTCTGAAATAAATAGGGAGAGAGGGGGAGGCGGATAGAAGATGGATAGAGGAGAAGATAGGTGGAGAGGAGACAGACAGGTCAGAGGTGGGGATGGAGCCAGTAAAGGTGAGTGTAGGTGGGGAGGTAGGGAGGAGATAGGTCAGTCCAGGGAGGACAGACAGGTCAAGGGGGCGGGATGCGGTTAGTAGGTAGGAGATGGGGATGGGGCTTGAGGTGGGAGGAGGGGATAGATGGGGGGAAGGACAGGGCACGAGCCGGGCTGATTTTGGGATGCGGTAGGGGGAGGCATCCCAAAACCAGCCCAGCTCGTCCCTGCCTCCCTAACCTGTCCTTCCTCCCACCTATCCCCTCCTCCCACCCCCATCCTGCCCCCTTGGCCCATCCATCCTCCCTGAACTGACCTATCTCCTCCCTACCTCCCCACCTCTGACCTGTCTGTCTCCTCTCCAACTATCTTCTCCTCTATCCATCTTCTATCTGCCTCCCCCTCTCTCCCTATTTATTTCAGAACCCCCTTCCCGTCTCCCATTTCTGAAGAAGGGTCTAGGCCCAAAACGTCAGCCTTCCTGCTCCTCTGATGCTGCTTGGCCTGCTGTGTTCATCCAGCTCTACACCTTGTTATCTCAGATTCTCCAGCATCTGCCTTTTCTACTATCTCTAGTACTTGGAATGTGTGGGTTGTCGTAAGGTAAAGTTCAACAGGCTAGTCTTTCATCTGAAGTTTAGAAGCACTTGATTTAGATCGAAGGATCGGGAGCAAGCAGATAGAGGCATAGATAGTTGGAGTCTTTTTTTTTTTTTTTTGCAGGATAGAAATGTTGGCAATTTTTCTTGCATGGAATGATAAGTGCCTGGAATGCACTGCCAGAAGGGTGATGGAGGCAGATACAATGAATTTGTTACACAAAAGCCAAATACTGCTGGAAACCTGAAATGAAAACCGAAGATGCTGAATGTTCCTACCAGGTTTAGCAGTGTCTGTAGTGTATAATGAAGTCAACATTAACTTTCAGAGTCATTCAGCATAGAAGGCAGACCTTTGGCCCACTGTTTCTATACTTACCTACCAACAAACACCAATCTACACTAATCCAATTTACCTGCTGTTGGTCCATATAGCTATGTGCCCTGGCACTTTTAGTGCCCATCTAGATACTTCTTTCTTAAAAACTAAGTGAGAAGTGCTGAAGTTGTAAATATACAGTGGGACTTCATCTGCCTGTACTCATGTTTCTGTCTGTTTAACATGTCTGACTCTTGTGTTTTAGGTTACCCATCGTTGCTTTTAACGGGAAACATTCACAATGTCCGGAGGTCTCGATGCGTTGCAGATGAAGGAAGAGGATGTCCTTAAATTCCTTGCTGCTTCTACCCACCTGGGCAGCACCAACCTGGACTTCCAGATGGAGCAGTATGTCTACAAGAGGAAGAGTGATGGTAGGCACGTGATATGAGTCAAAGGAGGAGTTTGAACTTGGGGGACGTTACATTTTGTTTGTGCAGTATTACTGCTCAGCGCAGCACTGACGGTCTCATAAAATCCCAGGAACCAAAATAGGTTAATCAGACCTTGAGTCTGCTGTGGCATTTGAATTATCATAGAATCATAGAATTCCTACAGTGTGCAAACAGGCCCTTTTGGCTCAACAAGTCCACAGCGACCCTCGGAGCATCCCACCCAGACCCATGCCCCTATAACCCAACTAACCAGCACATCCCTGAACACTACGGGCAATTTAGCATGGCCAATTGACCTAGCCTGCACATATTTGGACTGTGGGAGGAAACTGGAGCACCCGGAGGAAACCCACGCAGACACAGGGAGAACGTGCAAACTCCACACACAGTCACTCGAGGCTCGAATTGAACGCGGGTCCCTGGCACTGAGGCAGCAGTGCTAACCACTGAGCCACTGTGATAAGACCATGGTTTGTGGCTTAATTCTCTTTCTCTATAATCATTCACTCCTTTGTCAATCAAAGATCTAATTCTGTCTTAAAACCACGCAATGATCCTGCTGCCACTCTTCTCTAGAGAAGAGAATTCTCCGGACCCATGACTCTTCGAGAAAAAATTCCCCTAATTTTATCCAGTGGGAGACCTTTGTTTTTAAACTTTGTCCTGTCATTCTAGACTATACTAGAAGGGGAAACATTCTCTCCGCGTTCACCCTGCCAGGATGTTCAATAAGTTCAGCTGTCTTGCAAACTCCAATGGGTACAAGCCTGAACTATGCAGTCTTTCTTTGGAAGATAACCCCTTTATCCTAGGAATCATTTGAATGAACCTTATCTGATATTACAGTTGAATCCTTTAAGTAAGGGCATTAACTGTATGCAGCATTCCAGATGTGGTTCCACTACATGGCAAAATTGTCCTATTTTTATACTATGCACACAGTCCTTGTTGGATCTGTTTCCTGTGGTAGTTGGGAACTTTCAAACTTCCCATTGTGGTTTCTTTAATCTTTGGGGTGCACTGGAGAAAGGAGCTCGTTTCTGTGCATTCGCACCACTTCAGTGCTGTGCAGCTCTGCCAGTCTCAGTACACCCTCACAACAAGTCACTAATATCTCAGATCCTCTGGTGCTCTTTGAAATGTACTCTTTCAACATGTTTGCAGTTGCTTGTCTTGATTTTTTTTTTTATTTGTTTGTTTTCTGTACATTGAAGACACTTTATTAGCACATGGTTCTTTTCCACTTCTTACACCAGGTTTAATTTGCCAGTTGTACTGTGACTGTTCCATTTAGTTGTGGACCTGATAGAGTCTGGGCTGGATTTGAACTCTGGTCCCATTGAAACCACCCAGTTTCCCCAACTTCTTTGCTTTTTTTATTTATTCATGGGATGTGGGTGCAGTTGAAACGTCTGGCATTATTGCTTGTCTCTAACAGTGGAGCTGCTCACTCTTATGTTTCAGAGGGTCATTAAAAGTCAATCATGTTGCTGATGATCTGGACGCGCATGTAGTCCAGACCAGATAATGACAACAGGTTTACTTGGGACTTGTGTCTCTCAATCTTTAGTATCAGCCTCAGGATGACAAGCTGACTGTGCTGTTATTCCTTTTTTTTTAGTGTGTATAGTCTAAAGTTAAAGATTTGTTACATTTCAATGATAATTGCTAGATTACTGTGTGCATTAGTATCTCATAAGTGGGTTATCTTGTCTGCAGGGAACATCCTGGCTTAAGGCACTACAATTTCAGCACAGTGTTATGGAGCACTGCATTGTTTTTACTATATTCTTCATGCTATGCCAAAGCTGCCTCTCTGAGGCCCAGGAGGCAATGCCATGAGGATGTGGATTTGGGGAATTGGAGGAAATCTTGGTACCTCCAGCTTCCAAAGGATGTGGTGTGATTTTCTTTGCTCTATTTTGCATGTTCTTAAAACCTGGAGTTGAGGTCATTCCCTGGTCAGTGAACTCTGGGTGTTGGAGATGTGCTACACTAAATTGGCAGGTATTTTACTAACACCACTAGCATCTGTGATTTGATGAGTGGGGTTTGATAGTAGTTCCTGTTGCAAAAAGTGTGAAGCATGTAGTCATTGCACTGGGGGATGCTTTGATATAATCTGGAATAGACAAGTGGGTGCATTTGGCCAAGAAAGGGGCAAACTGTTAATGCTCTGCATTCTTTTTGTTAGCTGGTTTGAGGCTTTCAACAGTGCCCCAGCGATATCCAGAGGATTCTGTTCTCTAGAGGTACAATATGCTATGCAATTGAATCTGTTAGGATAATGTGTTGGTTTACACGTTGCCTCTAATCTCTGCCAGAAGTGAGCCATTTTCTTACCTATGAAGTCACCCATCCTGGGCATCCCCACCTCAAGTCTATTGTTAACTGGACAGCAAAGAAGAATTTTCAGTGATGCAGTGCTCAACATATTCCTCAAGGATATCTGAAGTAAACAAGAGGGTGAAAGGTTAAATTGCTTACCTTAATAACTCCTAGTTTTGTAATAGTCGTATTCCAGTTCCTGGTGGCTGTCAAGCTGCAGCGTACAATTGACTTTCTCACTTAGAGTGGCCACAATAATTGTTATGAACAGATGAGAAGGAAGAACCAACTTCAGTCATTTGAAAGTCGTCTTGGTGAGATATACTATTAAAATTTCTTTTCAGTGTCATACTACTTGATAAGGTCCCTTGAAATGTTTTGGGACTTTTTGCTATGTTAAAGATGTTTTACAAGTGCATTTTTCCATGCAGGATAGTGAATCAGTAGAATTTTTTTACTGAAAAGGGCTGTTGAGGCTGGGTCACTAAGTATATGCAAGACCAAGATAGAAAAAGTTTCATTCTGTAATGGAATCAAGAATTATGGGGGAAAAGGCAGAAAAGTGGAGTTGGGCCATCTGCATCAGCCATTATCCCATCGTTTGTCAGTTGTCTAACTTTTCATAGATTCTTGTTGCATACGAATCATTCAGTGCCTGTATTGGGCTGTTTTGAAAACAGCCCAGTGAATTTCACTTATCCTGTTCCCTGTAGCCTTGCAAATCCATCCCGTGGAGTAATTAGCCATTTCTATTTCCATGTTTTGGGGTCCATAATTAACATTGTTTTAGGGAAGGAAGGGTTTATGTTATTATGTTAGATACAAAACACAGGATTAACTGTGATTTTGCGTCTTGATGAGCAGGTATCTATATTATCAATCTGAGGAAAACATGGGAGAAACTGCTGCTTGCTGCTCGTGCCATTGTCTCTATTGAGAACCCAGCTGACGTTTGTGTCATCTCCTCTAGACCATTTGGACAGGTGGGTACAAAAGTAACGATCTGTTTGATTTTGTTTTCACTGAGCGACTGGTATCTTGTAAAACTGCACATTATTAAAACCTGGGAGCTGGGGCCAGTATCTTGGTCAGTGAACTCTCAAGTGTCGGAAATGTGCTACAATAAATCTGGCAGGTTTTTCGCTAACACCACAAGGGTCCATGTGACTCGATGAGTGGGGTTTGATAGTAATCCTTGTCACAATTGGTTCTGAAGCATTGGCATTACAGCGGAGTGCTGCTTAACTTCGAGATAACCATAATCTTTGAAAGCTGAGAATGGACACCTGTTGGGTATTAATAATGAAAGGGGCTATGAAAGAGTTACCAAATTTTAACATCTCTGAAGGTTTGTTAAATCCCACTTGGGAGTTACACACATCCGTTTTCTGTTCTGAACGATGTTCAAATATTGAAGAACTTCAGGGTGGGCTCGGCTGGTTTACTGAATGGTTCTTTCCAAGTTTGTTTACAGTGACTGCCTCTTGCTCCTCAGCGTGCTGTGCTGAAGTTTGCTGCTGCCACTGGTGCCACCCCAATTGCTGGAAGGTTTACCCCAGGTACATTCACAAATCAAATCCAAGCTGCCTTCAGGGAACCCCGTCTGCTGGTAGTGACAGACCCTCGACAGGATCACCAGCCATTAACTGAAGCATCGTATGTCAACATCCCCACCATTGCCATGTGCAACACTGACTCACCGCTGCGTTATGTGGATATTGCAGTTCCGTGCAACAACAAGGTACAGCTGTTTATTACTGTGCATTCATCCAGTGTGGCTTAATTGATGCAATTTTAACTTCATTCTGAAGATGCACTTTGGTATTTTCTTGACAATGAAGGCTGCTATCTTGTGCTAATGGGATATTTCCTGATCTTATGCCTTTACTGCTCTGATATGTATATGAGAAATTTTCCGTCTTCTTCCAGTTGATCAGAACAGTGGATGGGCTAACCTGGATGGAGAGTGCTCAGGGTGGGCAGGCAGGGGAGGAGGAAGAGACACCCATGCACATAAGAGTCCTGACTCGGAATGAGATGGGACGGAAGAAATGAGAATAAAGCTATACTGAAGGGACATTGGAAGAGCTGGGGCTGCGGTCACTGGAATGTCTATTTCATCAGGGACTTGGCTTATTGCGGACCCATTTAGGATCCGTGGTTGGGAGTGTTTTATGACACAATAATTATGCCATTATTACAGTATCTAATTTTTTAATTAATGTATTTCCAGCCACATCAGGTTTTCAGAAAGATGTATTGTGTCTGACACAACTGAAGGTACTGCTTGAGCAGGTGAAAGATGTAGTGGATGTGGGAAGGCAGTGGATGCTGTGTCTGTGGACTTTTTAAGAACATTTTCGTTGAGGTGTCATGTAGGAGACAGTGTGTAATAAAAGGGGTCATAGGAAATCTGATTGTGGTGAATCTGAATCTTGGTGTGGGCAGCAGTGCACATTGCTAGAACTTGGAGCTGAGGCCACTCAGTGGCCAATGAACTCTGAGAGTAGGAAATGTGCAACATTATTACGCAGGAATCTCTAACACTGCTCGAGTCTCTGGCTCAGTGAGTAAGGATTGGTAGTAATCCCTGCTACATTGGAAATAGTATTAGGAATCCTTACAGATTCAGTCCCAGGCAGTTGATGGAGACCCTCCGGCTATTTAGGACTGCTTTGTGCTGCTGGAGTAAATGAATAGATGTCTGGAATTCTCTCTCCCAAATACCAGACGAGCTGGGTCGTTGAATACTTTTAGGACAGAAGTGATTAGATCCTTGACTAACAAGGGAGTCAGGTTTTCTGGGAAAGACAGGAAAGTGGAATTGAGCATCAATCAAATCTGCCATGATTTTATTAAATGGCAGAGTGGACTTGAGGGATTGAGAGGTCTATATCTTTGAATGATCTTATGAGCAGATTCTATGGTACTTCATGACTGTAAAGTGCTTTGAGATGTCCTAGGGTTCTGTGTATAACTCTTTATAATGAGGGTTTTGCATATGGCCCTCCTATCCAAGTTGATGGGAATGACTGCCAGAGGGCCTCTTGTTGTGGGTCATTACTGCCCCTGTGCATTGCTGCCATCTACTAACATTGGTGCTCATTGAGGCAACTGGTGCCTACCTCCTATAGCAAGCAGTACCCGCACACAGCCAGTGAGCTCCCAAATAGAGCACTGCTGACAGGAGTTGTTCAATTCATCCTGTAGGTCAAGAAACAAATGAGGGATAATCAGATGCACCACATATAACACATTTTACAATACATTGACTACTGTAACCTTGTGTCTTTGAAATGTTGTGTAAGGTTTTGACCTTTCACTGCAGATGTTGGGAGGATGGAAGTCAATGACCAGATTTCTCAACTGTTTGGTCTTCTTTGCTAGGGTGCGCACTCCATTGGTCTGATGTGGTGGATGCTTGCCCGGGAAGTTCTGCGTATGCGTGGAACCATTAGCCGTGAACATCCATGGGAGGTGATGCCTGATCTGTACTTCTACAGGGATCCTGATGAGGTGAGTTTGATAAATGACTGATTACCCTTTGTTTGAGAGTTGTCTGGTTACCTCAAAGATCTTTGTGAACCACTTTTAATTTTTCCATTTCCATACTGAGATCTGCTGTCTTGCTCAATTAATTCCCTCCAGAGAGTGTCAGATTTATTTTCGTCTGATCTTGCAAGTACTGTGTAAAAATGACAACAGTGCCTGTGGAGATGCCTTCCCTTTTGTGTTAAAAAGGTTGCATCTGATAAATTTGTTCAAAGTCACCCTATGAAATCCGAGCTCAGGGCTATTTGACAAGGTGCGCCGCTGTCGGCTGAAGACCACATTGGTACTAATCTGTCATTGGAATGTTTAGGGAGAGATTTTGAATTTACCTGTCATTAAAATAACATTGGTATCTCGCTGCATTTACAAACCTTGACAAGAGTATCACTTTTACTTGAAACAATGAATGATTAGTGGTTCTTGTTAACTATATCTCTTTCTTTTGAAAATCGGTTCTCTTGTAGATTGAGAAGGAGGAGCAAGCTGCTGCAGAGAAGGCTGCTGGTAAGGAGGAGTACCAGGGAGAATGGACTGCTCCCGTCGCAGAGTTCGTTCAGCCTGAGGTTGCCGACTGGTCTGAGGGGGTGCAGGTCCCTTCTGTGCCCATCCAGCAATTTGCAGCTGCAACTGGTAAAAACCTGGCTGAGACGCTGGAGGCAGCGAGTACATATGCCAAGCCAGCAACATTCACCGCTGAAACAGCTTCAAGTGAGTTTCGGGGTAACCAGCACCTCACTAGTGAATGATTTTGGTCAGAATTGGGAGATTGGGAGTTGTGGGAGGAGGAAACCATTTTTAAAAAAAAGTTTACCTCTGTCTTGCGTCAGTAACACTTCTTTTTGATGTGCAGTTGCACACTCTGAACATCCAAGATGATGTCCAGCCTCATTATAGCTGTTCCCACCCGACTATCACCAGAACAGTTTTGATCTCCATCTTTAAACTGTCAGCAAGGATTATTTTTTAATGTTCTCTAATAACTGATTTCTTGAAGCATTAACCTGTGCTAACGAATATGCCATTCCAGTTTATTAGCTGCATTTCCTGAATTCAATAGGATTATTTTCCGATAAGTGGGTCTTTAGTATTGATTTGTGTCACAACTGATAGAATTCACTGTTGCCAGATTTTGTGGATTGCAAAATCAAACTGGCCAGGCATTTCCACCAGGACAGAATGCAGCTGTCAAGAGGCAGTTCAGCATAGGATCCCTCACTCACTATTGTCCAGAGTCCAGTAGCCTTTGAAGATCCAATTTAACAAAGATTAGTTTGACTGAATACAGTATGTGTGCAGAAGATATGAGGTAGGGAGGGGGAATTGGTAACTCTGCAGATGATGTAAAGATTGGCCGGGTAGTTAGACAGTGAGGAAGGTGGTCTTTGGTTGCAGCGGGAGATAGATGAATTGGTCAGATGGGCAGATGCAGTGGTAAATGCACTTTGGGAAACGTGAAAAAAGGCAAGGGAGTAGTCTATGAATGACGGGACACCAGCAAGCTCGGAGCAGAGGGATCTTGGGGCATTTGTCCACCAGAAGGTGATAGAACAGGGAAGTTTTGCCATATCAGCATGGATTATGAGAGCAGGAATGTTATTTTGGAGCTGAGCAAAACTTGGCCACAGCTGGAGAACAAAGTACAGGAAGGAAGTGATTGTATTGGGAAAGGTGCAAAGGCAGTTCCCCAGGATGTTGCTTGAGCTGGAGTAGTTTCTCTTTGAAGAGAGGTTGGATAAGCTCGGGTTGTTTTCTTTGGAGCTGAGGGGGAAGGGACCTGAATAAAGGGCATAGATAGAGTAAATAGAAAACGGCTGTTCCCTTAGTTGAGGGGTGAAAAGTAAGGGGCATAATTTTAAGGTGAAATGGAGGAAGTTTAGAGGGTGGAATGCTCTGCCTGAGGCAGGAGACCTCAATCTTTGAAACGTACTTGGACAAGCACTTGAAGTGTCATAACATTCAAGGCTATGGGCCAAGTGCCAGAAGGTTGAACTAGAGTCAGAGTTATACAGCACAGAAACACACCCTTCAGTCCAACTTGTCCATGCCAACCAAATATCCTGAACTGATTTGTCCCATTTGCCAGCATTTGGCCTATATCCCACTTAAACCTTTCCTATTCATGTACCCATCCAGATGCCTTTTAAATGTTGTAATTGTACCCACCTCCACTTCCTGTGGTAGCTCATTCTATACATGCACCAACTTTTTTGTGTGAAAATGTTGCCCCTGAAGTCCTTTTAAATCTTTCCTGTGTCACCTTAAACCTATGCCCTCTAGTTTTGGATCCCCTACCCTGGGAAATATACCTTGGTTATTCACTCTGTCCTTGCCCCCCATGATTCTACAAGGTCATCTCTCAGCCTCTGACGCTCCAGGGCAAATAGGCCCAGCCTATTCAGCCTGTCCCTAGAGCTCAAACCTTCCAATCCTGGCAACGTCCTTGTAAATCTTTTCTGAGCCCTTTTAAAGTTTAACAATATCTTCCCTAAAGCAAGGACACCATAACTACACAGCATTCTAAAAGTGGCCTCACCAATGTATTGTACAGCCTCAACATGACATCCCAACTCCTATACTCAGCACTAACCAATGAACTGGTGGAGATTGAGTTATTTTTGTCAGTGCAGACTCTGGGCCAAATTATTCTATTTGGT